TGGCTGAATTTTTAAGAGCCTCTAAAGGAATATTTCAATTGAGCATATTATCATTTTTTTTTTTGCCTCACGTATTTTTCAGACCATAAAACGCTAAAGGAATCACCTAGGATCTAAAATGCTGCTAAATTGAATAGGCCTGGGATAGGGCCTGAGAGCCTGCATTTTTAACAGGCTTCAGGTGATATTTATGCTGCTGAGAGATTATACTTGGAATATCAAGGGTCTAGTTTAGAGGATGTGCGTCTGCACCTATTTGTTCAGATGCAAAATTTTGAAAAGTTTGACCCACGGGGGAGATGCTAATGGCTCGTCATTCACCAAATGAGTGACCACTATGTGTTAGTCACTGAGGATCAAGATTAAAGACGGCAGACACTGCCCTGACCTCATGGAGTTCCCAGTCTCACCAGGAAGCCAGGCATTTAGCAGGAAACAAAGCCCTCTGCGGGAGGCTTGTGCTGTGGTCCGCCGAGTTCCTGGGCGCATCCGCTAGCGCTGTACCGTCCCCTCAGTTGATTGGCTGACAGGATTTCCAGGTCTCAGCCAATGAGGCTCCGGCTTGGCCAGTGCCAAGAGCGGCGGTCGTTGGAGTGCAACTGCCATGATCAGCTGCGATGGCCGGGGCTGCTGGCCGGGTCCGAGGTCGCGCCCTGCGGCGGTTTCCCATCACCCTGCCTGTGGGCGACGTGAGTATCTGCGAGGGTAGAAGCCAGACCCTTTCCCCCATATTTAGATGCCTTCCTCGTCCCTACTCCTGGGAAGAGGAATAACAGGATTTCTCGAGGCTTCGGCCCAAGGTCTTAGCCTTGTGATCTAGAATCCTCCAGCTGTGAGGTGGGTACTTCCTGTGATTTCAGGGTAAACTGAGACTGGCTAGGCTCACGTGGGAGTAAATGTAGGAGACTGAATTCCAATCCAGATGCTCTTATTCCCCGAATCCTCTTCTCTCCACGCCCACTTTGGAAACCAGGTTCCTTCTTAGCTGGAGTCTCACAATGCGCAGGTGTGTTGGGGGTGAACTGAGGAGAATCTGGAACACCGATGCTATTTTTAAGTTTTTTGTTTTGTTTTGAGACAGGCTGGAGTGCAGTGGCACAATCACGACTCACTGCAGCCTTGAACTCCTGGGCTCAAGCAATCCTCCCACCTCAGTCTCAGGACTAGCTGGGACTACAGGCTCGCGCCACCACACCCAGCTACTTAAATTTTATTTATTTATTTATTTATTTATTTATTTATTTATTTATTTAGGTAGAGACGGGGTCTCCCTATGTTGCCTAGGCTTGCATATTTATTTAGTAGAAGAAAAAACACATGCAAAAATCGTGTACGGAAAGGATAAACGCCAAATTTAGGATAGCTGCTGTCTTCCTGGGATGCGGATACAGAGATTATCAGCTGGACCTTAGTAATTTTATTTCTTAAGTTTTGAGGTGGGAATCTAAGTATTTGTTACATTATACTCTTTCTTGTTTGTCTGAAATACATTTTTAAGAGGGAAACATGGAGCCAAGCACAGCTGCACACACCTGTAGTCCCAGCTACTTGGGAAGCAGAGGCAGGAGGACGTCTTGAGCTCAGGAATTCAAGGATATAGTGTATGCTGTAATTGTGCCTGTGAATAGCCATTGCACTCCAGCCTGGGCAACATAGCAAGATCCTGTCTCTAATTTAAAAAAAAAAAAAAAGAATCCCAGCACTTTGGGAGGCCGAGGCGGGCAGATCACAAGGTCAGGAGATCGAGACCACGGTGAAACCCCGTCTCTACTAAAAATACAAAAAATTAGCCGGGCGCGGTGGCGGGCACCTGTAGTCCCAGCTACTCAGGAGGCTGAGGCAGGAGAATGGCGTGAACCCGGGAGGCGGAGCTTGCAGTGAGCCGAGATCGCGCCACTGCACTCCAGCCTGGGCAACAGAGCAAGAGTCCGTCTCAAAAAAAAAAAAAAAAAAAAAGAAACATGCATATGGAAAATAATATCAGAGGATAAAGCATACTCAATCCACCTCCACGCTTCTAAAGACCCTCACCAGGAGCAGCCACTGTTACCAGTTTTGTGTGTATCTTAACCTGTTTTTTTTCTTTTCTTTTCTTTGAGACAGAGTCTTGCTCTGTTGCCCAGGCTGGAGTACAGTGGCGTGATCTCAGCTCACTGCAAACTCTGCCTCCCGGGTTCAAGCAGTTCTCTGCCTCAGACTCCTGAGTAGCTGGGATTACAGGCACCCACCACCATGCTCAGCTGATTTTAATATTTTTAGTAGAGATGCAGTTTCACCATCTTGACCAGGCTGGCCTTGAACTCCTGACCTCGTGATCCACTGCCTTGGCCTCCCAAAATGCTGGGATTACAGGCGTGAGCCACCGCACCTGGCCACTTTTTTTTTTTTTTAAGGGGAGATGGTATCACTATGTTGCCCAGGCTGGCTTTGAACTTCTGAGCTCAGGCGATCCTCCAACCTCAGCTTCAGGGCAGGGGTAGCTGGGACTGCAGACACAGGCCACTGCTCCTGTCTTCTTAGGCATTTTCTATAGTGTATACAAGCATATATGGGAGCTTGGGGACTTTTGGGGTGGGGGTTCCTGTTTGTTTTGCACAAGTGAACCTACTATATATGGTCCTGCACCTTGGGCAATGTAATTTTTAACCTCATTAAACTGTTTTGCAAACTTCATTAACCTCTAGCCCTGTGAAACAATATAATTTATCTGGGAAAATATCCCCAGGGTTGCTTCTGAAGTGATGAGATGTAGGTCATGGCTACGTAGGCGGTGTTTGCCTTTTTCTTTTTAGCACACCCTCATGTGTAAGGTCAAAAACAAAAAGCAAAACATCTTCTCCAGTTAACCCTGTGAGTGTGCAGGAAAAAAGAATCATAGCAAGCAGAGTGTTCCCTGGATATGCTTTACCCTTTCTCAAAACGTTTTTACTACTACAGTACAGGTTAAATTCCACAGAGAACCCACCATGGCTTGATTTTTGTTGTTGTTGTTGTTGTAATTTGTTTATTTATTTGAGATGGAGTCTTGCTCTGTCGCCCAGGCTGGAGTGCAGTGGCATGATCTTGGCTCACTGCAACCTCCGCCTCCTGGGTTCAAGCGATTCTCCTGCCTCAGCCTCCTGAGTAGCTGGGACTACAGATGCCCGCCACTATGCCCGGCTAATTTTTTTTTTTTTTTTTGTATTTTTAGTAGAGACGGGGTTTCACCACATTAGCCAGGATGTTCTCGATCTCCTGACCTCGTGATCCGCCCCCTTCAGCCTCCCAAAGTGCTGGGATTACAGGCGTGAACCACCACGCCCTGCCTTTTTATTAATTAATTAATTTATTTATTTTTGAAATGGAGTTTCACTCTGTCGCCAGGCTGGAATGCAGTGGCACGATCTTGGCTCACTGCAACCTTCACCTCCCGGGTTCAAGCGATTCTCTTGCCTCAGCCTCCCAAGTAGCTGGGACTACAGGTGCATGCCACCACACCCAGCTAATTTTTGTATTTTCAGTAGAGACAGGGTTTTACCATGTTGGCCAGGATGGTCTCAATCTCCTGACCTCTCGTGATTCACCAGCCTCAGCCTCCCAAAGTGCTGGGATTACAGACGTGAGCCACCATGCCCAGTCTATTTATTTATTTTTCTGAGACAGAGTTTCACTCTTGTTGCCCAGGCTTCAGTGTGATGGCATGATCTCAGCTCATTGCAACCTTTGCCTCCTGGGTTCGAGCGATTCTCCTGCCTTAGCCTTCCAAGTAGCTGGGCTTACAGGTGTGCACCACCATGCTTGGCTAATTTTTGTATTTTTAGTAGAGATGGGGTTTCACCATGTTGGCCAAGCTGGTCTCAAACTCCTGACCTCAGGTGACCCACCCACGTTGGCCTCCCAAAGTGCTGGGATTACAGGCTTGAGCCACCACACCTGGCCTCTATCTTAAAAAACAAACAAACAAACAAAAAAACAAGGCTGGGTGCAGTGGCCCACACCTGTAATCCAAGCACTTTGGGAGGCCAAGGCAGGTGGATCACAAGGTCAGGAGATGGAGACCATACTGGCTAACATGGTGAAACCCTGTCTCTACTAAAAATACAAAAATTAGCTGGGCATAGTGGCGTGGGCTTGTAATCCCAGCTACTTGGGAGGCTGAGGCAAGAGAATTTCTTGAACCCAGGAGGCGGAAGTTGCAGTGAGCTGAGATTGCGCCACTGTACTCCAGCATGGGTGACAGAGTGAGACTTCATCTCAAAAAACAAATAAACTAAAACCCAAGTGCTGAGATTACAGGCATGAGCCACCACACCTAGCTCTATTTAATTATTTTACTATTTTAATTTTATTTAATTTTTTTTCTAGACAGGGTTTTGCTCTGTCACCCAGGCTGGAGTGCAGTGGCTCTATCATGGCTCACTGCAGTCTAGACCTCCTGGGCCCAAGTGATCCTTCCACCTCGGCCTCCAGAACTGCTGGGATTACATGCATGAGCCACCACACCTGTCTGTTTTCTTCCTTTTTAACATTGTCCTGGTTATACAACCCTTACGTAGGAGAGCTGCGATTCCTCTTCTTGGAGTACAAATTTATGAGTGCAGGTGCCCTTTTGTTACATGCATAAGATTGCATAGTGGTCAAGTGGACTTTTAACCAAATGGGTTTTTTGACAGGGCTGATTGCCAACACCTGGACATTTTAAATTACCAACCTGAAAAGGGAAACAGCTCTCTGCTTGTTTTGCATTTTGGTGACTATTGTTAATGGTTTTCTGTTTTGATATATTCAATCCGTTCAATCTGTATTAGTGCCTTCTCTGCCACTGTGTTGGGTGGGAATCTGATTTTGTTCTTTGGTTGGAGAGCCAAGTTGACCAGAGCTTAGGCATTTTAAGATAACTACCTCAGCTTGATGGGAAAGCCTGCTCTGCCCGGGGTTGAGGGGTACGGGCCTGAGGGTGACAGAATCGACAGCCCCAAGTGGGCAAAGGGTGGCCAAACAGGAGCGGCCTCCGACGTCACTGTGGCGCGCCGCTTCCGGTCTGCAGCCTTGTAGTGGGGCTGGAGCAGAGCCTGCCGCGAACCCCCGGAGCCCACGGTGAGTGTACCGTGCCATCCCTCGAATCCGAATCTGCCAGCAGGAGCCTCCCACCCGCGCCTGGGACCATGGCCACTGACTCATGGGCCCTGGCGGTGGACGAGCAGGAAGCGGCAGCCGAGTCGGTGAGTTGGCTTAAGCCCTAAAAGGGTTAGGGACTAGTTCTGGCCGGAGACTTGGTCCCTGGGAAAGGGTGGTTCCTAGGTTGATTAGAGACTGGATGGGGTGGCGGGGAGGATAGGGATGGAGCCTGGACCCTGAGCTGGCTTTGTTTACGCAGCCGCCCCCGCGTTACGTAAGCGCAGGTGAGTGCTCCTGTCGGTAAAGCGCTGAGCCGCCTGTCTGTCTTCCTGGAACCAGGAATGATCGTAGATTGTACTCATCACCCTAGATTGTGTTTTGTTTGTTTTTAATTGAAATAGAGACATGGTCTTGCTAGGTTGCCTAAGCTGGTCTGGAACTCCTGGCCTCCAGCAGTCTTCCTGCCTCCGCCTTTCAAAGCACCAGGATTACAGGCTGAGCCATGGCTCCTGGCCGCCCCGGTTTGTAATAGCTATTTTAGGTGTCATTCTCCACCTCTAGATTCAGAGCTTCTTTGGCTCAGGGACCATGTCTCTGCTCATATTTGTGTGCTTGCTCAGTGATAAATGATGGACCCAGTAGGTCTGGCAGTCAGCAAATCCTTTCCTCATCGGCTTCACTTTGTTCTTTTTTTTTCTGGGCCTGACACATGGTAAGGAACATATGTTAAACACTACTGCGTAGAATTAATTTCTCCCACCGAAACACTTTAAATTCTAGTAGGCTTTAAACCTACTTCTGTTAATACTTATTTCTATGACTTCCTCAAGAATAAGAACCTTGTCTTTTATATTTTATAGCTGATAAAAAATAAGTTGTATATACACATTGTTTAAAGAGTCAAGTGATTTTAAAAATAATGGTTCCGGCCAATTTTTTTCCTCCCCAGAGGCAACTCCTTTTTTTTTTTTTTTTTTTTTTTGGAGACAGGGTCACACTCTGTTGCCCAGGCTGGGGTGTAGTGGAGTGATCTTGGCTCACTGCAGTCTCTGCCTCCTGGTCTCAAGCCATGCTCCCATCTCAGCCTCCTGAGTAACTGGGACTACAGGCATGTGCCACTATGCCCAACTAATTTTTGTATTTTTTTTGTAGAGATGGGGACTTGCCATGTTGCCCAGGCTGGTCTCGAACTCCTGGATGCAAGTGATCCACCTGCCTCAGCCTCCCAAAGTGCTGGGATTACAGGTGTGAGCCACCACATCCAGCCTCTTTTTTCTGTTTCTTTCTTTCTTTACATATATTTTTTGAGAGAGGGTCTTGCGCTGTAACCCAGGCTGGAGTGCATTGGCACCATCTCTTGCTAACTACAACCTCCGCCTCCCAGGCTCAAGTGATCCTCCCACCTCAGCCTCCTGAGTAGCTGGGACTACAAGCATGAGCTAACCTGTGCAGCTAACTTTTTAATTTTTTGTGAAGACGAGGTCTCGCTATATTACCCGAGTTGATCTCCACCTCCTGGGCTTAAGCCATCCTCCCACCTTGGTCTCCCAAAGTGTTGGGATTATAGGCCTGAGCCACTTCGCCTGGCCCTTTGCTTTTCTATAAAATTTATTTTACTTGGAATTCTTAATTGCCTTATGTTTTTGCTTCATTTTTTTTCTTAATTATCAATTCAACCCCAAACTCTCTTCCAGTTGTCTAAGTTTATCTCAGAATGCTTAGACTTATCAAATATTCTATTAATTCCATTTCTCCCAGGCCTTTTAAGTCTGCTTCAAATTGGACTAGTTACTCCTGTCTTTAGAGCACAGTTCATATTGGGGGATAGAGGGAACAGGGCAAATTTCCCTTCAGCCTAATTCTGCAGATTCATTCCTCCTTTCTCTTGTCTTTTGGATCTCTTGGATCCCTTCCTTTCTGTCCTTCCACTCTTCCGTCTTTCTTGATTTATTCCTTATTTTTGTGCAGCCATCTGTCAGCTTTCTAGAGGTGTACGGGAAGTAAATTACTTTAAGAATATTCCATGTTGGGGTGGAGGGAGGGGGAGGGATGGCATTAGGAGGTATACCTAATGTAAATGAGTTAATGGGTGCAGCACACCAACATGGCACATGTATACATATGTAACAAACCTGCACGTTGCGCACATGTGCCCTAGAACTTAAAGTATTAAAAAAAAAAAAAGAATATTCTATGTCTTAAAAAATCTAATTTTGCCCTGTAATTTGGATAATAGTTTGACTGGGTATAGAATTGTAGGTTGAAAATTACTTTCCTGCCAAATTTTAAAGTTATTGTTCCATTGCCTTCTAGATTTCTGTATTTGTTGTTGAAATGTTTGAGACCATCCTGATTCTTGATGTGACTTGTTTTCCCCTTTCTAGGCTTGGAGAATCTTCTGTTTTCAATATTCAGAAAATGTATGGTAATATGTCTTGGCATGGGTGTATTTTCATCCATATTACTGGCCCCTGGGTGTGGGTACTTTCAATCTGAAAAACTCTTGTTCTTCAGTTATGAGAACTTTTCTTGAATAATTTCATTGTTGATTTCTTCTCCTTTGTTTTTTCTTAATTCTCTCTTTTCTGGAACTCACTCACTTTCTTTCTCTCTCTCTCTCTTTTTTTTTTTCTTTTTAAGACAGGGTCTGTCTATGTTGCCCAGTCTGGAGTGCAGTAGCTATTCACAGGCAGAATCATAGTGCACTACAGCCTTGAACTCCTGGGCTCAAGGGATCCTCCTGCCTCAGCCTCCCTCGTAGCTGGGACTACAGGTGCGCACCACTACACAGCTTTTCCCAGAACTCTTATTAGATGAATGTTGTATCAGTTGGACTGGCCCTTTAGGTTTTTTTTTTTTTTTTTTTGAGATGAAGTTTCGCTCTTGTCCCTCGGGCTGGAGTGCAATAGCGCGATCTTGGCTCACTGCAGCCTCTGCTTCTTGAGTTTAAGCGATTCTCCTGCCTCAGCCTCCTGAGTAGCTTGGGCTACTTTTTGTATTTTTAGTAGAGGTGGGGTTTCACCATGTTGGCCAGCCTGGTCTTGAACTCCTGACCTCAAGTGATCCACACACCTCAGCCTCCCAAAGTCCTAGGGTTACAGGCGTGAGCCACTGCACCTGGCCAGCCCTTTAAGTTTTTAAAGTCAGGTTTATGGAGGTATAATTTACATAGAGTAAAATTAAACTTTGTTAGTGTACAGTTCTATGAATTTTGACAAAAGCATACAGTTCTGTAACTACCACCACAGTCAACATATAAACCATCTCTACAGAGAACTACAACTGCTTGTAGTTCACTCCCTCTCCTCACCCTTCTCTGGCAACTGCTGATATGTTTTCTGTCATTATAGTTTTGCCTTTTCCAGATGTTATAAAATGGAATCATGTAATATGTAACCTTTTGAAAAGTCTGGCTTCTTCCACTTAGTATTATGCATTTGGAATTCAACCAAGTTGCATGTATCAGTAGTTCGTTCCTTTTTATTGCTAAGTAGAATTCCATTGTGGATATACACAGTTTGCTTATTCTTCTATTGATGGACACTTGTGTAATTTTCAGTCTGAGACAATATGAAGAAAGCTACTCTATACATTAAGGTACAGATTTTTGTATGGATATATGTTTGCATTTCTCTTGGGTAAAGTCAATACTGAAGAGTAGGATTTACTGTGTTATGTGGTATGTGTTTAACTTTATAAGTTATATGCCAAACTGTTTTCCAAAGTGTATCATTCTGCTTTCCCAACAGCAATGGATGAGAGCTTCAACTGCCCCACATCCTTCCCTGCACAGTATTGTCGGTTTCCTTCATTCTGATAGGTACATGGTGGTGGTGTCTCATTGTGATTTTAACTTATATATCTCCCTAATGACTAATGATGTTGAAAATCTTTTCATGTGCTTATTTGCCATCTATGTAACTTCTTTGAAGTGGGTTTTCAAACCTTTTGCCCATTTTAAAAGTAGGATTGTTTTTGTTTTTAGTTGGGAAGGTTATTTATATATTCTGGATAGAAGTTCTGTTTTTTTGTTTGTGTGTTTGTTTGTTTTAGACAGGGTCTCACTCTGTCACCCAGCTAGAGTGCAGTGGCGCTATCTTGGCTCACTGAAACCTTCACCTCCTGGGCTCAAGGGATCCTCCCATTCGGCCTCCAGAGTAGCTGGGACCACAGGCATGCGCCACCACATCTGGCTGTTTGTATTTTTTGTAGAGACAGGGTTTTACCATGTTGCCCAGGCTGGTCTTGGAACTCCTGGGTTCAAGCAATCCACCCACCTGGGCCTCCCAGAGTGCTGGGATGGATAACAGGCGTGATAAGTCCTTTATCGGATATGTTTTGCATATATTCTCCCAAACTACAGCTTGTCTTTTTTCAACAGTACTTTTCAAATAATAGACATTTTCAACTTTGATTAACCTAATTTATCAATTTTTAAGTGATTAGTTCTTTTTATGTTCCAAGATATACACCTTATCCAAGGCCACAAGGATTTTCTCCTGTGTTCTCTAGAAGTCTTACAGTTTTAAATTTTACATTTATGTCTGTGATCCATTTTACATTTTGAGTTAAATTTTTTCTAATAGGTATGGATTGAGGTTCAACTTTTTTTTTTTTTTTTTTTTTTGAGGGGGAGTCTTGCTCTGTCTCCAGGCTGGAGTGCAGTGGCGCGATCTCGGCTCACTGCAACCTCTGCCTCCCAGGTTCAAGCAATTCTCCTGCCTCAGCCTCCTGAGAAGCTGGGATTACAGGTGTCCGCCACCACGCCCAGCTAATTTTTGTATTTTTAGTAGAGACAGGGTTTCACCATATTGGCCAGGCTGGTCTCAAACTCCTGACCTCGTGATCTGCCCGCCTCAGCCTCCCAAAGTGCTGGGATTACAGGTGTGAGCTGCTGTGCCGGCTGAGGTTCATGTGTTCATCTTTTTCACATAGAGATGTCTTTTCTTTTTTGAGACGAAGTCTCACTCTTGTACCCAGGCTGGAGTGCAGTGGCACAATCTTGACTCACTGCAACCTCCGCCTCCTGGGTTCAGGCGATTCTCCTGCCTCAGTCCCCCAAGTAGCTGGGATTACAGGTGCCTGCCACCAAGCCCGGCTACTTTGGTATTTTTAGTAGAGACAGGGTTTCACCATGTTGGCCAGGCTGGTCTGGAACCCCTGACCTCACCCGCCTTGGCCTCTCAAAGTGCTGGGATTACAGGCGTGAGCCACCGCGCCTGGCCAGAGATGTCTTAATTGTTCCAGCACCATTTGTTGAAAAGTCCTTTGGTTTTATTTTTTTCTTCTGTTTTTCATCTTTGTCTCTTTTTTTTCCTTTCTTTTTTTCTATATTTCGTGGGAGTGTATTTCATTTTCACTTCTACTTTCGTATTTTTAATTTAAGGAACTTTTTTCTTCTTCCTTTACTGTTCCTTTTTTACAGACAATACCCTGTACTGCTTTCATGGTCATAATATCTGCATCATTTGGAGGATATTTTTCTTCATCTCTCTGCTCAGTCTCTGTTTCATGTGAGGCGTGTTTTATCTATACATTTCAGTATCTACTTTTTCATGATGACTATTTCTCAGATGTCTGTAATCCTTGCTTGGCCACTCATATTTAAGAGTGAGTGACTAAAAAGTTGAGTGGAAGCTGTAAACACATGAGTGGGGCTTGTCTATTCTGACCTTAACTGTATATCTTTAGTGGTCTGTGTCAGTGTCCTAAGAACTTTCCTCCCGGTCTGGCCAGATTTTGCAGAGAGGGATCCTCTAATTTCCTGCCTAGATGGTAGAGGTCTGACTCAGTGTTCTGGAATCTAGGTGGAGGAAAGGGTGAGGGAGGTCTCAGCACTCAGAATACCTGCTTCCACTTAATGCTCCTATTTTCATTATGGCATCCCCTCCCTTAAGTGTGGCCCTTATCCATTTGAGCATTTCTCATGCCTAACCTGGCAGGCATTGTTAATTGAGTAAATGAACTGTGTAGTTTGTTATTCTGTTACATGGCTCTGTTGCAAAGAAACTTTTGAGCATTCACTCTCAATATGTACATATCTATTTAGAAATTGCATACTTTATTGTTTTACTAAATATATTATGTACATTATAAAGCAAATACAAAATTAATAAAGGCTGAGATAAAAATGAAATAATGCTTTCCTGTGCTTCTGTGTGCTAGCTTCATATTTTTATTAGCCAATATCTCAAGGCACAATGTACACTTAGAAAAAAAACCACATCATTAGTCAATGTAGAGATAAATATGTATTTCAAGTAGTTCTGAGAGGTTTTTAATTTTTTTTTAATTTTTATTATTATTTTTAATTTTTATTTATTTATTTTTTGAGACAGAGTTTCACTCTGTCGCCCAGGCTGTAGTGCAGTGGCGCGATCTCGGCTTACTGTAAGCTCCGCCTCCCAAGTTCACACCATTCTCCTGCCTCAGCCTCCTGAGTAGCTGGGACTACAGGCGCCCACCACCATGCCTGGCTAATTTTTTTGTATTTTTTTAGTAGAGACGGGGTTTCACTGTGTTAGCCGGGATGGTCTCAATCTCCTGACCTCGTGATCCACGCGCCTTGACCTCTCAAAGTGCTGGGATTATAGGCGTGAGCTACTGTGCCTGGCCTGTTTTTTTTTTATTATTTTTTAGTTCTGAGAGTTTTGACTATTTTAACTAACTTCTTGTTAGGTCAGTTTTTTTGTTGTTGTTGTCATTTTTTTTTTTTTTAAATAGTGTCTCACTTTGTCACCCAGGCTGGAGTGCAGTGGTGTGTACATGGCTCACTGCACCCTTGACCTCCCAGGCTCATGCGGTCCTCCCACCTCAGCCCTGCAAGTAGCTGGGACTACAGGTGTGCACCGCCACACCTGGCAAATTTTTGTATTTTTTGTAGACATATGGTTTCACCATGTTGCTCAGGGTAGTCTCAAGTTCCTGAGCTCAAGCGGTCACCTGCCTTGGCCTCCCAAAGTGCTGGCATTATAGGCATGAGCCACCGCACCCAGCCATTCAGGTCAGGTTAAATTGTCATTGTTTTAACCTATTAATGTGCCTAAGAGGGTTTGTTAGGAGTAGGTAGCTTTGACATTTTCTATTTGGCTTGAGTTTGTGTCATAGAATTATCTTTCAGATAGAACAGAAACTCATAATAATGAACCCAGTGATAATAAAAACTCAGGTATAAAAAGATTAACTCTTGCTATTTTTAGCAGGCCCAAACTAGCCATTTTATTAACCTTACAACAACAAATTCCTGCATTTTATGAAACAGAATCTTGAGACCCTATTATTACAACATTACGGTGAGATTAAAGTGTACAGTTCACTGATGGTTGGTGTATTCAGAAGTGTGTAGCTTGTATCAGTCAGTTTTAGAACATTTTCATCACCCCAAAAGGTAACTCTGTACACATTAGCAGTCACTCCCTGT